GGGGTCGCGGGTGCCCACCGAGGCGCTTTCCAGCGGCGCCCGGCCGCCGCCGGCCGCCTGAGCCGCCCGCAGCGGGAGGCTGGGCTGCGGTAACGTTTTACCGTGCGGCGGGAGCGATGTTTTCCGGCAGCCCGAACTCGCATGGGAAGCGGCCAGGCACCAGCAGCTTCAGGTTTTTCACTTTGATGTTGTTTTGCGGCTTTAATTACGGAGGTTTTTTTCTGTTTTTCTAGATAAAATACTTGTTGTTTTGCGGGAGGCACTGTTCACGTTGCCAGTAAGTGAAGCGCCCCTCAATCAGGGCGAAAAAAAACCCAAACAAACCCAGGAGGAGAAGATGGAGGAAGCAGAAGAGGATGACATGACATGTGGAGACTTGGGAAACGGACTTGGGAGAAGACCGGGAGGTGTTTATGAAGGGGAATATTTACAAAACTCCTATTCATTGAGATCTAGGAAGGGATCTGGAAAGGTTTGTAATCCTCTTTTATCAGCAAAAAGAGTGGAAGAAAGTGATGCTGCGGCTCTTCCCAGATCAGAACGAAACAGTTTTTACGACGGATCATCCAAAAAGCCTGTTACTAGTTCAACCCGACAAAACAGCTGTGGTAAGAGTAATTTGGAAGTTAATTATTCGCCATGAGAAAAATCTCCGTTAGGAAAACTGAGCAGTTCAGCTGCTTCACAAGATGCCATCAAGTTTAATTCAAACCATTTGCCAAACGTCTTGGAAATCCCTGAAGGATTCCAAGAAGTGCATGTGCATTGCATGCCTGCTGGGATCCAGCGCGGCCTCGCAGGCTGGTTGGAGCAGCCTGTAACTCCGCTGCGAGTGTTGCAAGAGGAGATGCTCAGTGCCGTTGAGGCCGCAGAGCGGCCTCTGTTCCTAGGTCTTCCTCCCAAAACATTAACAGCAGAATTGCTTTTCAGTGAAGGAGGCTGTGGCCCTTCATAGTGCAGAATGACCATTTTTAAAGTGTTTAGTTTTGCCTTTGAAAGTGACATTTAGCGAAGAGCATCCTGCGGTGGGGACAGCATTGTTTTTCTCTGAACACATATATGAAATTGAATGGAATTGCTTGGATTCCTGGTTTGTTTAAGTGTGTCTTCCTAGAGATTGTATCTAAAGCTTATGGCTAAATAGTCAAAATCCTGTTTGCTATTTAGTTGGAACTTGTGAATTGGAATACTTTTGAGGTTAAGAAGTTGTTTTTAGAACTGGCACATCTCCGTCCTCCCAGTGTTGGCATTCATTGTTTTGTGAAGACAACACTGCTGTGAATAAAATCAAATAAAGGCAGTGCTGTTCATTACACTTCAGCTGCTTTGCCTTACATTTTTGGCCATTTTAAGTATTTTGTCTGAAGTATTTCCATATAACTTGCTTATTTTTCTCCTTTAGAACAAGTCCCCACTATCCTCTCCACAACAGTAAGCTAAGCCATGTAATTATTCTTCATTGGTTTCAGCAGCGTCGGAGAGATGTTACAAGAGCAGCGTAATTCCGATTGGTTTCACTGTCCTTCCGACGGTCTGTGTGATGCTTGTCTTAGATCTAGGTCTTTCACACAGCAATATCCATGAAAGCATGACTAAAGTCCACATGAACCTGACTTTGATTTAGTAGGAGGCTGCATCTTAACGTATCTCTGCGATGCGCAGTTTAAGAAAAATGGTACCAGTAGTAACTGCTTGTTTAGAGGAGCATTGGATCTTGTGGGATACTCCACCACTGTACTTGATCTTCGTCTCTTGAAAATTGCCCCTACTTCTAAATAGTGCCAGCTACTGTTGTGTTGAGTTTGGTTCTGGAAAAGTTACAATCTAAAAAGAATCTAAAAAATGAAATTATTTTTTGAATCAAGATGGCAATTTTGTTGTGGTTTTTATTTTTTAAAGGCAATTCTAAAATAATTGTCCTTATTTTAGGTCTCTCTACAACTGATCTTTTTTTCCCATTTCACTTCTTTAAGTGTGAAACAATGTGTTTGAGCTTAGTATTTATGTATTTCTTACATCTGTGTATTAGCTCCAGAAGAAAAAAAACACAAAGATGAAAAATCACCTCCGCATGTTACCTGTTTTCAGGGTAAAGCAAATTCTCATGTTTTCTTTTGTAAACATTTCAGTATCTCATCATTTAGCATCTCCTATCAATCTTACAGAATCTAACACTGACGTGTCAAATGAAGAACTAAAGCAACAACTTCGGGAAGCTCTAGAGGTTAGTAACTGTGCCAAGTGTGCTGCTCTTGAAATCTGCATGTCCTTTTAATACAGCAAACTAAAGCACAGTGTTAGTTTAGCTGAAGATCTTGGCATGTCCAGAATCTTGGATGGATTCAGGTTCTTGAAATTAGAGTGCTAGTTGGAAGCCTCATTAAATTTTATGCCAGGAAATCACAGTGTGAAATGCAGTTTATACTCTGGATTTTTTTTTTTATTTGGGGGGGGAAGCAGCGGGGAGAAGTATTTTTAAAGATGTAGAGAATATTAAAAGGATTGTACTCCTTTTCTAGCAGGTTTTCTTTTTTTTATTAAGCTTTGGGCCTGAAAATCTGCAGTGTAAACAGAATAGACTTTGGGTTTTTACTGCATTTTTGTTGAAAGGTAAACTCCTACATTTTAGTTTTACTGTGGTTAAATGTGTTGATGCGCTGGCGTCAGTCCCGGCAGAAAGAGTAGGGTGATCTCAGCTGTGAAAATACACACTTCATCTGCACTGTGTTTTTTAACCTCAGGATGGCCCGTGGTAGGTCATTTTCCAGCTGTCTTAGCATGAAGAACCTTCAATGCACAGCAAGTTAAAATGTCAAGGAACCTTACTCATTTTCAGTTAGACAGAACTGATAAATTGCCACTGCTCTCAGATACAATTTCAGAATCAATCACTGAAGTGATAGAACTGGAAGAACTATGAAAAAAGTTTTGTATGACCGCAAGTGAACAACTGAGTGACTGACATAGGGGTTAAGGAAAGATAAGTATACAAAGCAGTAAATTTTCTTTTAACACTTGGAAATTGAAAAACTGCTTTCTTCTGAGGGGGACAATATTGCATAAAGACATGATTGGCATGTACCTGGAGCAGGAATCTGTTTTGTTGTTGTTTTGTTCTGGACAAGTAGTGGTTTTGATCTAACAGTCCTAACATGATATCTGCGCTATAGAGTATGGATATTTTGTATAATATATAGTACATTATATTAATGTAGCATTTATATGTTAGTATATATTTGTAATATTTACTATATTTTGTATCTGCTGCATGTATTTGCATGCATATATATCTCCTATTCGGTTTTGCTTACTTATTTTAAAGCTCCAGACTTGTGTTGGTGTATACAACTTCTTTAGCAAGGAATAACTGCAGTATTTAGTGGTTTATTTTCCAGATACACTGGAAGAGAACAGAAAGAATAATAATTACAAGTATTCTCCTTTAAGGATTTTGTGCTAACATGCACTGTTAACAATTCTTCATCACAGGCAAGCTATTAGTCAGAAAAGAATCATATTTGTTTTTTGAAGAGGGCAAATTT